TGTAGATCATTATGATTGGTTTCTCCTTTCTCCACCCACCTTCCCTTTACCCTCCTGATATTGCTACTCTTACTATTGGTCCTGAGGGACTTACCTGTCCTGGATTCCCTGCGTTTCCAGCTCTTTTCTGTACCCATGTACATGTTCTGGTCTAGCCAGATTTGAAAGGTAGGATTGGGGTCATGATAGTGGGCGGGAGGTAGCATTAGAACTAGAGGAAAGCTGTATGTTTCATTGGTGCTATACTGCACCCTCACTGACTCGTCTCTTCTTGTGACTGTTCAATTGTGTACAGATGGGCTTTGGGTCTCTACTCCTTGCTCCCCGTCATTCACACTGATATGATTTTTTTTGTTTTGCGTCTTTGATGCTTGATATCTAATCCCATCAATATCTCATGATCACATAGGCTAGTGTTCTTCCATGTGGGCTTTGTTTCTTCTTAGCTAGATGGCTGCTTGTTTTTCTTCAAGTCTTTAAAAGACCCCAGACACTATATTTTTGATAGCCGGGCACCATCATCTTTCTCACCACATTTGCTTATGCACCCATTTTTTTTTTTTTTTGTCTTCAGTTATCATGTCAGGAAAGTGAGCATCACAGAATGCCGGGTTTTTAGAACAAAGTGTACTTGAGTAGAGGCCCAATGTCCATACTTAACATATAAATATATGTGCATAGATCTATTTCCCTATCATTTATATAAATATATTTACATATGTACATGCCTGTATCTAGACCTCTATAAATGTCCTTTCCCTCCTAGTTCTTTTTTATTTCCTTTTGTCCCACTATCAGGTTTGGCCTTCATGTGGGTTTGAGTAATTCCTCTCAGCTACATTGCCCTTCAGCAAGCCCTACCAGGTATCCTATGCCCTCCTTGCCATCAATTTTAGATCCTTGTTCCCTTGTCCCGGGGTTTGTTGACACCCCCACATCCTTGCTTTTCAATACTCTAAAGAGGTCTTGTATAGCAGACTTGCCTAATGCAACTCCTCTTTTGATTTCTTGATTGCTGCCTCCGTGAGCATTGATTGTGGATCCAAGCTTGACAACTTGAATTTTTTCTCCATTTATGATGATGTTACCTATTGTTCCAGGTGTGAGGACATTGGTCTTCTTTACATAAGTTGTAATCCAGTTGAAGGCTGTAATATTTTATCTTTATCAGCAAGTAGTTCAAGTCTTTCTTGAGTTCAGCAAGCAAGGTTGTGTCATCTGCATATGGCAGGTTGTTTAATATGCCTTTTCCAATTCTGATGCCATATTCTTCATATAACCCAGCTTCTCTGATGACTTGCTCAGTATACAGATTGAATAAGTAACCTAAGAGGATATAATCCTGTAGCACACCTTTCCTGATTTTAAACCATGCAGCACTCCCTTTTTCTGTTCACACAACTGTCTCTTGATCCGTGTATATTTTACACATGAGTACAACGAAGTGTTCCAGCATTCTCATTCTTTTCAAGGTTATCCATAGTTTGTTGTGATCCACAATGTCAAATGCTTTGTCATAGTTAATAAAACACAAGCGCACATCTTTCTGGTATTCTTTACTTTTAGTCAAGATCCACCTGTCATCAGCAATGCTGTCCCTGGTTCCACATCCTCTTCTCAAATGAGCTGGAAATGCTGGCAGTTCTCTGTCAATGTACTGCTGCAACTGTTGTTGGATGATCTTCAGTAAAATTTTACTTGCATGTTCTAAAATTTGAGCATTCTGTTAGGTCATCTTTCTTTGGAATGGGTACAATTGGCGAAGGAGCTGTCTTCCAAATTTCCTGGCATAGATGCGTAAGTGCTTCCAATGCTTCCTTAGCTTCTTGAAACATTTCAGTGGGTATTCTATCAGTTCCTGGACCTTGTTTTTGACAGATACCTTCAGTGATACTTGAAGTTTTTCCTACAGGAACATTGGTTGTTGGTCATATGCTACTTCCTGAAATGGTGGAATGTCAACTAGTTCTTTTTGGTACAGTGACTCTGACTATTCATTCCATACTCTTCAAGTTTCATACTCTTTTGATGCTTTTTGTGTCATTCAATATTTTGCCCATAGAATCTTTTATTATTGTAACTTGAGAATAAATTTTTTTCTTCAATTCTTTCAGTTTCACATGCTGAGTGTGTTCTTCTGTTTTGGTTTTTAACTGTAAGTCTTTGCACGTTTCATTATAATACTTAATCTTGTTTTCTTAAACTGCCCTTTGCAATATTATGAAATTGCCCTGGGTGGAGCAGAGCTTTTGTACTATACATTTTTCCTGCTAGTGAGCGTCAAGCAACTCACTCTGAGTTAGTGCACCTAGGGCTATCACCTGGGAAGGTTCTCTCTTGTCACATTGAATTTTTTCATGAAATCAGTGTACTTGAACCTTTTTTTTGTGATGGTTGATTTAAGAGAACAGCCTATAGCTGTGAATTTTGTTTCCTGCTTGGGAAAAATGCTGCAGGAACTGTTGTGATATTGAACACAACTTACAAGGACAGTGCGATGGGAAAAACTCAAGTATACAAGTGGTTTTATTGTTTCAAAAAAGGTGAAATCTTGATTGATGACAAACCTCATTCTGGACATCTGCCAACTTCCCAAATGGACAAAAATGTTGACTCGTAGTGCATCTGGAGGTTATTCCACCAGGTCACACTGTTAATTGAGCTTTCACTTTTGAGGTTCTGAAAAGATTGCAGAATATGTGACAAAAAAGGCCTGATTTGTGGCAGACAGGAGACTAGTTTTGCTACAGCAATGCACCTGCTCACTCAGCCATATCAGTGCACCAGTTTTGGGCAAAAAACAATATGTCTCTGTCTCTCTTGCCCCATGCACCTCACTCACCTGACATCTCTCTGTGAAACTTTTTTTTGTTTCCGTGAAGAGGGACATGAAAGGACAGCGATGATGACAGAAGAGATGAAATAAAAACGAGGGGGGTACTGTCAGCTAGCCAAACAGATGAGTTTGAAAAATGTTTCAAAGAATGGAATCGCAGATTTGACAAGTATTAATGGAGAGAACTTTGAAGGTGATAAGGTTGTTTTCTAAAAAAACGCAAATACATAGCTTGGGGTAGGGGGAATTCCTGGGTTTTTTGGGGGGGGGTCCCCCCTCATATACTCAACTCTTACTTCATCATTTATTCCATTTGCTTTATATACTCTTATTGTTAAGAGCAATTTTCAGAGTCTCTTCTGACAACCATTTTGGCCCCACCCCCTCACCCGTCTTTCTAATTGCCTTTTGTTTTCTTCATGAATGATGGTTTTGATGTCCACACATAGGTCTTCTGTCATTAGTTTTCAATGCAACAAATATGTTTTTGAAATGCTCTTGAAATTCATATGGGATAGAATCAAGTGTGTATTTTGGCTCTAATGGACTTATTTTAATATTCTTCGTCTTTAACCAGAACGGATCATACAATTGGTTTGTCTCACAGTTGGCCTCTCGTCTGATTTTAGCTGCTGATATTAGGCTTCTTTATCATCCCTTGCCATTCAAACCAAAATTCACTGGCATTGAGTCAATGCTGACTCATGATGACTACCCTGTTGGGTTTCCAAGACTATTTATTGGATAAGAAAGCCCAGTCTTTCTCTCTAGGGTTTCCTGGTGGTTTCAAATTGCCGACCATGCAGTTTGCAGCCCCACGAGTAACCACTGCAGCACCAGGGCTTATCTCTCTTTCCACAGATGTAGTAAATTTGATTTCTGTGTATTCCTTATAGAGAAGTCCCTGTGTATAGTTACTTTTTGTGTGCAAAAAATGATTGTTTTGAACAACTTGTTGGATTTATAATATTCTGTCATGCAATCTTTACCTTAGTTTTCAACCCCAAGTCCATATTTTGCAACTACAGTTCCTTGCTGTTTTCCCCCCAACTTTTGCATTTCAATCACCAAGAATTATCAATGCATTTTGATTGCATGTTTGAGCAAATTCTGACTGAAGTCATAGTAGAATTCTTCAACTTCTTTATCACTAGTTTTTGTGGTTGGTCCATAAAATTGAATAAAAGTTGTATTGATTGAATTTCCTTGAAGGTGGTTAGATATAATTCTATCATAGACAGCATTGTACTTCATGATAGAGTTAGCATGATCCATTCTGACACTGATTGATTGCTATGCTATTCCTCTTGATTGTGTTATTCTGTTATTCTCGACATAGTAAATCATGTGATTTTTTTCATTCAGAATGGCCAGTACTAATCTATTTCAGCTCACTAATGCCTAGATTATCGATTTTTATACATTCCATTTCATATTTGATGTCTTCCAATTTTCCTGGATTCATATTTCGCACATTCCATGTTCTAGTATTTAGAAGATTTATGCAGTTCTTTCTCCTTACTTTGAGTTGTTGTGCCCCATCAGCAAATCAAGTGTCCAAAGGCTCCACTTCCACAGGCTTTACCTGACTCGTGATCTATTGCACTCCAAGAAAGTAGCTCCTCCTCACTCACATTTTGAGTGCTCTCAGACCTGAGAAGGCCCATCCTGTGGCACTATCTCTGATAACATTTTGTTTCCATTTATTAATCCTTCAGTATGTGACAGTATTTTGAAACTATGTATGAGGTTTTCAGTGGTTCCTTCCTCTGAAGTGGGGATGCCAAGTCCGTCTTGGTTGTCTGTTCTTAGTCTGGAAGTTCCTCTGAAATTTGTCCACTTTGGGCGACCCTGCTGGCATGTGAAATTCCAGCATCACAGCAGCACACAAGGCATCACAGTACGACACTGACAGACAGGTGGTGGCTGTTGTAGAGCTTATGCCACAAGTAGAACTTTTAAGGTTCTGAAATTCAGGTGGGTCGTGTTTTTTTGCTTTTTTTTTTTTTAAAGGCTTTTAGAGCTTTTTGGACTTCAGAGTTGTGGATATGGGATTGTAGACCTGTGATCTATGAAAAATTGTAGTTATTGACTTACAGAAGAAAAAAAAAGTTGAATTATTTAGATATACTCTTTTTTTCTTTTATTCCCCCCCACCTCAAAGGAATTAAAAGGTTTGTAGCAGGAGCTCTGGGCCCCACCAATAAAACACTCTCTGTGTCACCTTCTGTGGAAAGGCCAGATTATAGGAACATCAGTGAGTATTTATCTTATATAATAATAAACCTTGGGTAAGTACCTCCGTGATTCATTTTCTGATCTATAAAATGAGATCAATCTCAGGCTTATTGTGAATTGATCCACATAAAATATTTATAGTAGTTCATAAACAAATAAGTTTTGAGAGCTTGCTTTTAATTATACATGATGTTGTGTTAGTGCTGCTTGTCAAGAGTGGAATTAAAACCAATCTAAATCAAGTTTTAAATGGATAGGTTGAGCCATGTAGACACGAGGACTTGGTTTATTATAATTATATCCCTATTTCATATATTAGAAAGCAGTCAACACTATGTAAACAATAGTATTTGAATTTGAGATGAAAATTATTAGAAATACAAGAATCTGGGCACATTTCTTAGACATTAACATTCTAAAAAAACAAAACAAAAAACTGTCAGGTATGTGTTCTAGGTAGGTGATAACATGTGTGGAAGATACATTTAGGCAAGTACCGTTTGTATGTGTTTTGCTTACAGAACTTTATGTGCAGTTATACTACACATTTTCCGCCAGGACTGGCTCATCATTGCTGATGTGTAGGCAGGCGATACTTTCAGTGTAGACACGGCATTGGGGAAGTACTTTTTTCTTTCTCTTATGCTGTATATAATGAAGTATACTTGGTGGTAAGAATACATTTCTGTTTCGCTAATGACCATATGTAGCCCCGGTGGCACCATGGGGTAAGTATTGGCTGCTGACCTCAAGTTGGTAGTTTAAAGCCATCTGCTACTCCCAGGAGAAAGATGAGACTGTCTGCTCCCATAAACATTTAGGGTCACTGTATACATCACTATAAGTTGGAATCAGCTTAATGTCAATGGTTTTGGTTTTTGGTTTCTTTATTATATTAACTAATTTTGTGGGGAAGTATGAAGATGTAACAGGGTAAGACACTATGCTGTCAGGTGAAAACAGACAGCCCAAAAGCTTTCTAATAATGTTAGGAGTGACTGAATACTTTTATTTGAGGCTGAATATTCCTTACCAGACTGAACACATTTGTTCGGTGACAGAGTTGGTGTTCTTGGGCAGAAGCCAAATCCTGCCACAGAATTACCACGGAGAGGGTGAAGATTCAGCTGATCTGTGATGTTTCAGTCAGTGTGATACATTTATTGATTGGTCAATTAAAACAGTTGTTGGAAAAATCACATTTTAAGGATGCTGAGAATAAAAGTACAAGGTCCTAGAAATTCTCATGCCTCTCCAAGCAGTAATTAATTCTTAGCTCTGATATGAACAAGTGTTAAGGTGTAATTTGTATGTTCAATTTACTTGTTTTCCTTTATCACTGCTAAATATGTATTTGATTTTGGGCAAAAGAATAGGTGTGTTAGTTACTGCTGCAGAAAAAAAATACCACAAAGTAATTGACTTTAAAAAAACAGGGATTTCTTTTTGTCTCACAGTTTTGGAGGCCAGAAGTCCAAATTCAGAGTGTCATTAGCACCATTTTTTTTCCCTGTAGACCTGAAGAGAAGTTGCTATAGCTTTGGGCATTACTTAGCATTCCTATGTTTGATGTCTAGTTCTCTGTGTGAGACCATTCAGAAGGAATCAGGCTCCGGATCCACCCTTCTACATATGACCTTATGAACATAGCAAGAAAACGATTTCTAATCAGAGTCATATCAACAGGGACAGTATGTAGGACTTCCATATGTCTTTGTGGAGGAGAGAAGACAATCTGTAACAGTAGAGTAGTACTTGAACTATGAATTTAGTTTACAGGTACTAGGCCTAACTTAGCATACCCTAAGACCACTCAGAAAATATTGATGAGTGATGTGCTGAATGGGATTTATTATTATTATTTTTGCAGCATTTGATGAGCTTGTTGAAGCATACCAAGAGCAAGCCAGAGGACTTCTAGATGGCGGGGTTGATATCATACTAATTGAAACAATTTTTGATACTGCCAATGCCAAGGTGAGTTAAAGGCGAAAAATGGATAGGCGGGACTGTGATGAATTCTCTAATGTAGTGAGAAGACAATAGAGTCATTAACAAAGTTAAAACTTCTTTATTTCATTTTAGTCTTGAATATTTTTAACTGAGACTGGTAGAATAAGAATAACTTTAAAAGAGCTACTTTTTTAGCTTTAAAATATTCTAATAATGAAAATAAGTATTTTCATATGTTGTACTATATGTATATGAGGCAATGTTCGGATTTTCTCCTTTCATGTGGGAGACCTAGTCTCAGTGCCTGGCCCTTGACCTTCATGTGAAGTTTGTCTTTGGAGGCTTGCATGTTACTAAAATACTGGACAGGTTTTAGTGGAAATTCTAGACTAATGTGGACTAAGAGGAAAGACTTAACAGTCTACTTCCGAAAATCAGCCAGTTTCTACTGTGAATTACAACAGTCCAATCTCCAACTGATCATAGGAATATTAGAGGACTGGCCATCTAGCGTTTGTTCCGTTGTGCATGGGATTGCCCCGAGTTGGGGGCTGTTTACTCAGTGATAGCTAATGAGAACTTGTTTGGATAGGAAGAGTCCTGGTGGTCTAGTGGTTATGCGCTGGGCTGCGATCTGCATGGTTGGCAGTTTGATTCCACCAGTAGCTGCTAAGGAGAAAGACTGGGATTTCTACTCCTGTAAACAGTCTTTGAAACCCATGAGGTTGCTGTGTGTTTGGATTATAAATGTACATGGTCCTAAATTCAAAGGGTACACAAAAGTATGCAATAAAAACTAGATTTCCTTTCCCTTGTTTCTGGTTATCTAGCTCCTCCTAGCACAGCAATTCCCATTTGTATGTCCTGATAGTCTATGCAGAATGTGTGGGTGTATGGATTCCCTTCCTTAGCCTAACTTACTATGTCCACTAGTGGTGATCCTTTAGCCTTCACATACTGTCCCTCTTTATCTCTAGTAACTTTATTGTCCTAAAGTCTGCTCTACCTGATGCCACTATAAGTACTCCAGCTCTCTTATGGTTGCTGTTTGCTGTCTGTATCTTTCCATCTATCTCCTCTCTGAAGTGTGTCTCCTCTAGACAGGGTTCAGTTGTGTCTTGTTTTTTATATACAGTGAGACCGTTTCCTACCTTTTTATTGCCTCATGTACATAGTATATTCCATTATGTGAATGTACCATAATTTATTGAGACCATCTATATTGACAGACATCTTAAATTGTTTTCAAACTCATCTTGGTTTAATCAGCAGTGCTCCAGGAAATATCCTCATACACATCCCACAGTATATCTATGGAATAAATTTCTATAAGTGAAATTTCCGAGCCATAGTTGTATATGTGTTGCTAATTTTGATCTTTAGTGTCCAATTACCCTCCCAAGAAATTGAACAAGTATTTTCTAGCAAGCAATGTACAATGGTTCTAGTTTTTGTACTTTATTTTTAAATGAGAACTAAATAAAATGGTATCACACTGTAGTTTTAATTTGCTTTTTCTTACTACAAATGAAATTCAACATCTTTGGTTTGGGAGTCACTTATATTTTCTTTTCTATGATATTTCTCCTATACCTTTTATTCCATTAGAGTGTTGTCATTTTTATTGACTCCTTACTCAGTGATGAGTAGTAAATACTGTGCTCAGATTTGTTGTCTGTCTTTGACTTTATTTGTGCTGGGGTAGTGATCTCTTTGTGGTGCTTGTTTTGTATTTGTTTTTGCTTTATAATAGTGAAGGAAAATTTGAATTCCATATAGTTTGTTTATGGATTTTATTTGTGGAGGGAGGGATAATAGTGATTGAGCAAATGATGTGGAGACCACATGTGACTCTCCTTTAGCTACACAGGGCGGGGATGGGGATGGGGGTGGCGGGAAGATGAATTCATTTCTGTACCAGCCCAAGGCCAGTTGCCACAGATAGAAGTCAGGCATGCCTCCACCCTCTATCTTCTCTTATTCTGACACCAACACCCTACTTTGTTGCTTGGCAATGGCCATTTAGAACTCACAAAAAACACTCACAGTTATAGGGTTTATTGAGGACATTAACAGGTCACCGCAAGCCAGGATCAGAAAACATTAAGTATATAGTTATCGTCTACAGCAGTGCCTCTTAGCCAGCAGCCAAGTCCACAGTCCACGGTGTCATGGTCCTTTGGCTTCTGCCTGCAAGAGCTGCAAGCATGCTCACTGCTCTCCCTCCCAGATGCATAGTCTTGGTGCTGCTGCTCTCCCCTCTCCCTGGTATATGTGTGGCTTGCTCTTCCACTTGAAGTAGGGAAGGATCTTGAATATACTCTGCTAGTGGCTCTTCTTTTTCGATGGTCCCAGAAATTCTTTTCATTCTTGGTTCTGAAATGTTTTATTCTTATAGCCAGGGGGATGGTGGAATGAAGTAATCCTTGAGTCTGCTACACCTTTTTGCACGGTCCCACTCAATCATTTGGGGGAAGTTATAGAATAAACTCACTTACTGGTATCAAGTCAATTCCGACTCATAGCAACCCTATATGACAGAGTAGAACTGCTTCTTTGACCTTCCCAGACTACCGTATATACATGAGTATAAGCTGACCCAAATATCAGCCAAGGCAACTAATTTACCACAAAAACTGCATTAAAAATGTGCTGAAAAACTCGGTTTATACACGAGTATATACAGTATACCTTTATGGGAGTAGAAACCTTCATCTTTCTCCTGAGGACCAACTGGTGGTTATAAACTGGTGCTTCTGAGGTTAGCAGCCTGCGACATACCCCTAGGACTTGTTTTTGAGAAACAGATAGAAGAACCATATTAAAAATTTTTGCTTCACCACAGGATTATATTTAGAAAGATCCTATTTCAAAATAAAGGGTTGGGGGCGGTGGGGGAGGGAATGCTCTTCCTCTTTTTTTCTCTTGTATTTCTATAAGCCAGAAACAACAAATCTGCTATAAAGTTGTTTTGACTCATTGACCCTACAGGACGGATTAGAGACGTGCCCCATAGGAGTTCAAGTCTGTAAGAGAGAAGCTGACTGCCTCATCTTTCCCCTGTGGATTAGCTAGTGCATTTGAAACACCAGCCAGTGCTGGGTGTAGAAAATTAAATGTTAAACTCAGAATTAAAAATAAAAAATTCCTAAACTGCATGAGGTAGAGTGAAGGGAGTGATGCCACCCAGAATCTGGATGACTATCCCACCTTTAAAAAAAATCTTTATTGTCTTTTGGGTGATGGTTTATAGAGCAAGTCCATTTTCAATTCAATTCTTACACATTTTGCTTTGTGGCATTGATGCCAATTTCCACAGCTTGCCATTTCTTATTCCACTTCGTACATGTGTTTTCCATATTCATTCCTCCTTTCCTAATTCTTCCTGTCACCTTAATTCTGACCTTGGGCAAAGTACTGCTCCTTAGAGCTCAAATGGTTGATTCTTTTAAGGAATGTGCACCTCCCTAATGTTACTATTCATCTTATTGACGTAAGTAGTGCTGATGGTGCTATGGGTTAATTGTTAAGCTGCTCCCTGCAAAACCAGTGGTTCAAACCCACGATCCGCTCCTTGGGAGAAAGATGACTCTATCTGCTCCATAGAGATGCACATTCTTGGGAACATAAAGGAATAAGTCTTCTCTTTCCTACGTAGATAGGGTCACATAGCAGTGGGTTTGATGTTTTGTTTTACACACACACACACACACACACACACCCAGACCTGTGTCTATTTATCCCCCATAGAGACATGCAGATAAGGTCAGTTCCAGGCCTACAAGTTCCATAGTTTTGAGGTTTCAAAATTTCTAACCAACCAGTAACCCTAATCTTTTTATGATTTTAAGTTTTATTTTACATTTTTCTCCCGCTTTATTCTGGACCTCCTTAATAGGCTGGCTCCTTTTGGAGCTTCTGATAGGGTAGTTCCAGCTGGTAGCACCATCTAGTTCTTTGCTCTTATGGTTGTGGATGCTGAGGTTCAAATGGCATATTAGTCTACTGGATTAACTACTTTCTTGGGTCTTTGATTTTCTTTACTCTTTTTGCTCGAGACAGTGGAAGACTAGTATTTGCACCTAAGATGGTTGCCCACCTCATTCTTTTTTTTAAACTCATTTTATTGGGGGCTTATACAACTCTTACCACAATCCATCCATCCACGAATCCATTGTGTCAAGAACATTTGCACATTTGTTGCCATCATTCTCAAAACATTTGCTTTCTACTTGAGCCCTTGGTATCATCTCCTCATTTCCCCCCTCCCTCCTCACATCCCCTCCCTCACAAACTCTTGATAATTTATAATTTATTATTATTATTATTGTCATGTCTTACACTGTCCGATGTCTCCCTTCACCCACTTTACTGTTGTCCATCCCCCAGGGAGGAGGTTATATGTAGATCCTTGTGATCGGTCTCCCCTTTCTCCCCCACCTTCCATCTACCCTCCTGGTACTGCCAATCACCACTGTTCATCTGTCCTGGATTCTTTGTGTTTCCAGTTCCTATCTGTACCAGTGTACATCCTCTGGTTTAGCCAGATTTTTAAGATAGAGTTGGGATCATGCTAGTAGGGGGAGGAAGGATTAAAGGACTAGAGGAATTGTTGTGTGTTTCATCATTGTTAACACTGCACCCTGACTGGCCCTCAGGTGCTACACCGAATCCTGAAAGGTCTCATATCCTTGCCTAGGCCCTTCTGTAAGGGGATGTCCAGTTGCCTACAGATGGGCTTTGGGTCTCCGTTCCACCCCCTCATTCACAGTGATCTGATTTTTTTTGTTCTTTGATGCCTGATACCTGATCCCTTCAACTCCTCATGATCACACAGGCTGGTGTGTTTCCATGTGGGCTTTGTTGCTTCTGAGCTAGATGGCTGTTTGTTTATCTTCAAGCCTTTAAGACCCCAGATGCTATATCTT